GGCTTCTGTTTTTTTTTACTAAGCTTTTTAACAACGCAAGCTTTAGACTGACGTTCTCTCCCTGACGCGGAAAAAGCCGTGGGGTTTTTAACAGGGGACCCAGACCCCCGGGCCGAAACATGAGGGTATTTTTGGCCCCGGGAAAGGCACCCCTCTGCCAGGGTTGAAGGGAAACGTGTTCATAAAAACTTAAATCGTATTTGGATTCCCAACAGTTTTATCGTCCCTTCTCCGTTTTTTGGAAAACATTATCACCTGAAAGGTCAGCATTAAAGCGTCATCGTTCTTTCTCTTCCCTCTTTCTACCTTATTCCTTCTATTTTATTCCCTTCTTCGTCTGTTTTTGTTTGATCTAAATAAGTCTTCTACCTCGTCTGTTTATTGTGTTTCAAAAATAATGCTTCTCCCTCGTCTGTTTATTGATAATCAAATAATGTCTTCTCACTCGTCCCCTTTTATTGATGATCCTAAATAATGTCTTCTTCCTGCGTGCTTCTCCCTCGACTGTTTATTATGCCTAAATAATGTGGTCTTTTCTTCTTTTCCCGGATCTGTTATAATTAATCTGAATCCTCTAAATAAAACATGTCTTCCGTTCCTTTTCTCCCTCGTCTTCTGTTCGTATTGAGGATCTAAATAATGTCTTCTCCTCGTCGTCTATTGATGATCTAAATAATGTTCTTCTCTTCTCGTCTGTTTACTTGATGAACTAAATAATGTCTCTTCCCCATATCGTTCTGTTTATTGATTCTCTAGAATATGTCCCTTCTTCTCCCTCTCTGTTTTATTGATGATCTAAATAATGTCTTCTCTCTCGTCTATTGATGATCTAAATAATGTCTTCTCTCTCGTTCTGTTTTATTGATGAACTAAATATTGTCCCCCCTTCGACCCCCCCCTTCCTCCTCGTTTGTTTATTGATGAACTAAATAATGTCTTCGCTCCCTCGTTTGCTCTTATTGGATGAACTACATAATGTCTTCCCTCCCTCGTTTGTTTATTGTTTACTAATTGATCATGTCGTTTCTCCCTCGTCTGTTATTGTTGAACAAATAATGTTCTGCCTGTGGCGTCATGTTTATTGATGATCTAAATAATGTCTTCTCTTACGTCTGTCTTATTGATGACTAAATAATGTCTTCTCCCTCGTTTGTTTATTGGTGATCTAATAATGTCTTCACCCTCGTCTGTTTATTGATGAACTAAATAATGTCTTCTCCCTCGTTTGTTTTTGATGATCTAAATAATGTCTTCTCTCCCTCGTCTGTTTTATTGATAAACTAAATAATGTCTTTTAATTGTCTGTTTATTGATGATCTAAATTATGTCTTTTCCTTTTCTGTTTATTGATGAACTGAATAATGTCTTCTCCTTCGTCTGTTTATTGATGAACTAAATAATGTCTTCTTCTTTGACTGTTTATTGATCCTTCAAATAATGTCTTCTTGCCTCGTCTGTTTATTGATTGTCCTTCAAATAATGTCTTCTTCCTTGTCTGTTTATTATCCTCTCAGTTATTTGTCGTTGGTTTCGTTTTCGAAGTCTGTGTCGTGTGGGATCTTGATCGTCCTGTTTAGTGACGCCTATATTAAATTGTAATGATATTGTCACTATGCTGGCCTTTATCGTCTTGTTTCCTTGTGTTCTGTTCTACTGTCGCCTCTCGTGTGTTTATTTGTTCCTGTTATTCTTTATAGTGTACTTCTAGCGATTTCTCCTTTTCTTTTCTTTTTTTTTAAAAGCGTTTGTTGATTGCCCTTGATTCTCTTATTCTTCAAGAAGAAGAGGGAGGAGAGAAGACTGAGCCGACGGGTATAGGAAAGCAGACTGTCTGCGGCAGTGATAGACAATAAATTAGGAGCCGACGTGTATAGGAAAGCAGACTGTCTGCGGCAGTGATAGACAATAAATTAGGAGCCGACGTGTATAGGAAAGCAGACTGTCTGCGGCAGTGATAGACAATAAATTAGGAGCCGACGTGTATAGGAAAGCAGACTGTCTGCGGCAGTGACAGCATTAAATTAGGAGCCGACGTGTATAGGAAAAGCAGACTGTCTGCGGCAGTGATAGACAATAAATTAGGAGCCGACGTGTATAGGAAAGCAGACTGTCTGCGGCAGTGTGATAGACAATAAATTAGGAGCCGACGTGTATAGGAAAGCAGACTGTCTGCGGCAGTGACAGACAATAAATTAGGAGCCGACGTGTATAGGAAAGCAGACTGTCTGCGGCAGTGATAGACAATAAATTAGGAGCCGACGTGTATAGGAAAGCAGACCTGTCTGCGGCAGTGATAGACAATAAATTAGGAGCCGACGTGTATAGGAAAGCAGACTGTCTGCGGCAGTGATAGACATAAATTAGGAGCCGACGTGTATAGGAAAGCAGACTGTCTGCGGCAGTGATAGACAATAAATTAGGAGCCGACGTGTATAGGAAAGCAGACTGTCTGCGGCAGTGATAGACAATAAATTAGGAGCCGACGTGTATAGGAAAGCAGACTGTCTGCGGCAGTGATAGACAATAAATTAGGAGCCGACGTGTATAGGAAAGCAGACTGTCTGCGGCAGTGATAGACAATAAATTAGGAGCCGACGTGTATAGGAAAGCAGACTGTCTGCGGCAGTGATAGACAATAAATTAGGAGCCGACGTGTATAAGAAAGCAGACTGTCTGCGGCAGTGATAGACAATAAATTAGGAGCCGACGTGTATAGGAAAGCAGACTGTCTGCGGCAGTGATAGACAATAAATGAGAATACATTTGAAGTTGGAACAACATTCGTAGCTTTGACTAGGGTGTGAAAGGATTGAAGAAGGCGTAATTATAGTTTTGCAGGAACAGATAAGTCATAATAATGTATATAACAAACGACGCGAACTTAATGAAAGCTTTTCAAAGAAGCCATTATTTTGGGGGGGGGGGGGAGAGAGAGAGAGTAAACGAACATGTAATGAACAATTAGAAGACATCCAGGAGAAGATGGAAATAGAAAACTATGAAAAGACAGAAAGAAAACACCTACAACTGGACTGATTAATGTCCCTCTTGTCTAGGTTCCCCATGGGAAGAAAGGTTCCAAGTGTCACGGGTTCGTCCAGTTTGAAAGTGAGGCCGCTGCTCGGGCCGCCATCTCCAGTATGAATGGCACCTTGTTTTATGGGAAAAAACTGTAGGTAAACCTCGTTGTCGTATCTATGGTTCCATCAGTCACTCGACAGTCACAGTTTATAAATAATGTAATGAGAGCTGCATGAGTGTAGTTGCAAATATTGTGTCACTGTCGAGTAACTTACGGAACACATCATACAGAGTTCCTTAAATACATGTATACACAGTAACCGCCCAGCAGTGAAATGTTCCGACAAGTGCGACATTTGCGGTAATTAAATACATTACGTTAGAGATGTGTTGCATGGAGTTTAGTAATTACGTATACAAAAAAAACATTTGAATACTAACTTTATTCAGACACGAAGAGATGTCGACAAGGGACATATCATGTATGAAGTTGCTACAGACGTTCGGAGTGATTCCCTTTAGCCTTCAGACATTTTTCATAACCAGCAAACAACACTTAGCTACCGTAATTCTATGTCAATATGGCGGATTATGTCACTCAATGATGACGTTATTAAACAATTATAGTTTTCCCGTCCTTTTTAGAAGGAAATTTTCCGGTGTTTGAAGCCCTACCCTGGCTCTTGCCAGGGGCCACAATATAGCCTGGCCATAAATATGGTCTAAGGCTGAACGCGGTTTCTGGGACCTCTCCACAGGTGATCCTCGCCTGCATGGTGACACATTGTGTCATCGGGTGTTTATCGCTTGTGTAATGTCCTGTGGGGTAGAAAGCCAGTCAGTTATTAAACAAGTAGTCTCTAGGAAACTGTCTGTGCAATACACTGCTGTGCACTTACTGTGTATGCTATTTTTTCCTGTTTTGATTTTCTTTTGCTAACTCTGTATGTGTAAACGTGTGTTTTAGACAATTGTGACGGAAGCCAGATGCATGAAATCTTTCACATAGATATGTCCTAACCACCAAAAGTCTGCTGTTTCGGTTACATCAGAGGAACGTGTCTAACACAGCGCGTGCAGCCAGTCTTTGTGCAACAGATCAGTTTGATGATCAAATGGCCAGGATGACGGCATGGTAATTCTGATGGAGTTTGTCACTTCGCATGTGACATAAACACTCAGACTTGAATCTATGATCGGGAACGGGGCGAACACCCTAAACTGCCCCCTTCCCCTCCCCTCCCCCCTCCTCCACCAACCGTCTTTTCCTTACCCACATTTAATTTTTAAAATTAATTTCCAGGGCTATGCTGCCCTCTCACCCTCACCCAGCCGTCTGTTCACACTCTCACCAACCCGTCTGTTCACACCCTCATCAACCCGTCTGTTCACACCCTCACCAACCCATCTGTTCACACCCTCACCAACCCGTCTGTTCACACCCTCACCAACCCATCTGTTCACACTCTCACCAACCCGTCTGTTTCCATTCGTGAATATCAGTGCTCTTTTTAAGGTTTTGTTCCTATTATTTAAAATGTCTGTTATACGTAATTGCCATTCGACACAATATTGTACATATTATTATTAATAATCACTTAAAGATGTTGGTAATGCTGATGACGATGATGACAGGCAGATAGCAGACAGGCGCGTTAAAATAGACAGACACTGACTGACCGTCTGACTGAAGGAGAGACAGAAATCACAAACCAGTGATGACTTTCCACAGTTATGTCGGCCATTGCTTTAATCGTGTCAAGAGAGAGTCCACGTCTGAAACCGTCTCCATGACCGGATGTAGTTCTTCGAGCCTGCGAACTGTCTACATCAAGAACCTAAGTCCCACTGTCGATTCCGTCTTTCTGAAGATTACCTGTTCGCCATACGGCGAGGTCGCCAACGTCAAGGTCAGTGTTTGAAGAAGAAATCAGTGGCTAGTTTCTGAAACGCCTAACCCCGTGTGGGTTCCGGGGCCCCATTGTGGGGAAAACCAGAATAGACCCGCTGCCTCCCCAAAAGCATGACATAAGAGTCGACTAATTGGGGAGCTTCCTTTGAAGTCGGAGTGCATCTGCAGGAGAGGCAAGGAATCAACAGTCTGTATTCAAGAGAATGAGATCTGTAAAACTGATGCACACGCAACACTCAGGTTCTGGAGCAGGACTGCAGTTCAGTAATGGACGAGCTACCAGAACTTTCCGCCAGAGTGTACAGCTGGTGAACGCAAAGAAGAAGAAGATGAAACGCCTAAGTATTCATGATCATCACTTCTGCCGTTTAACCGTTGTGGGAAATAACAATATACGATCATTTGCTTGATAGACAGCAAAGGATACCGAAGACGTCGTCACAGTCTCATAACACGCCGTGTTTTAGGGTCACGAACTGCAGTTGATAGTTTATGAAACTGCTGTACCTACCTTCTGCGGGGCTCAATATTGGCGTCAGGTATGGTCCTGGGAAGTAAAGGCGGCTAGTGTGATGTTGATTACATCACCTACCGAGTGCCAGTTTGCATTATCAAATATGATTCTGACATCATATGTTCGATAAGCGCCTGAGATGAAAGAAGAAAAATAAATTCTTTATCTACTTGTGTTTCTCCGAGATAATAAGTTGTGTCAGTCTATAGCAACGTTTGAAGATTTGTTCCACTGAGTCGAAACTCCTGACTTGTTTCTAATATTTATCAGCAATTTTAGCCTTCCCTGGTGTTATCTTTAAGAAGTGAATTCTGAGCTATTAGATAGAGCAGATATTACAATAGTTCTCTCAATACCCGGTCTACGAAGGCTCAGGTGGCTGGTTGGTCACACTGGAAAATAGAGGATGGTAGAGTCCCTATATACATCCTCTACAGTGAGTTACAGATAAGTAGACGATGTCAAGGCCGACCTCTATTAAGATATAAAGGCGTGTCCCAGCAGTACAGGAATGATACAGGTATTGAGGTGGATTCATGAGAGCAACACACCGTATTGTAAAAAAGGGGTGGGCGGGGCGGGGGGGATGAGTGACAAGGAATGAGAAAAACACAGAAAGCATTGCAGAAAGAAAGGGATCGATGGCAACAACGGTCCTGAAATCCATGGCTTCAATTGTGGAAGATATTTCTTAGAGCGGGCGATTCTTGCTTGACACGCTGGCCATCGACAGAGACTGTGAGCCCTATGCCTCCAAAAAACACAGTGGAACACTATCGTCTGGACAGACGAAAAGATGTCAGTAACAGCAAGGAGTAAATGATCCATTCTCAGATGCGGCTCATCTGGAACCTTTCTCAGGTTGTCATCATAGTTTTTGTTTAAATATTTCTTGCTGCAACCATGGCCAGCACCCACGTGACTTCGGTAAGGATCTGCCCTAGCTTCAGCAAGCATCTGTCCTGATTTCAACACGCATCTAACTTCAGCAAGCATCTAATTTCAGTAAGCATCTGTCCTGACTTCAGCACGCATCTGTCCTGACTTTCAACACGCATCTGTCCTGACTTCAACAAGCATGTGTCCTGACTTCAACAAGCATGTGTCCTGACTTCAACAAGCATGTCTAACTTCAACACGCATGTGTCCTGACTTCAACAAGCATGTGTCCTGACTTCAACAAGCATGTGTCCTGACTTCAACAAGCATGTTTCCCGACTTCAACAAGCATCTAACTTCAACAAGCATCTGCCCTGACTTCAGCACGCTTCTGCCCTGACTTCAGCACGCATCTGTCCTGACATCAGCACGCATCTGCCCTGACTTCAGCATCTAACTTCAACAAGCATCTAACTTCAGCACGCATCTTCCCTGACTTCAGCACGCATCTTCCCTGACTTCAGCACGCATCTTCCCTGACTTCAGCACGCATCTGTCCTGACTTCAGCACGCATCTGCCCTGACTTCAGCACGCATCTGTCCTGACTTCAGCCGCATCTGTCCTTTTTTTTTTTTTGGTCTCCATGAAATATCAGCTATTCTTCTATATATCCACATCTCTGTATATCCACATCTCTGTATATCCACATATGTATATATCCACATCTCTGTATATCCACATCTCTGTATATCCACATCTCTGTATATCCACATCACTGTATATCCACATCTCTGTATATCCACATCTCTGTATATCCACATAACTGTAATCTACATTTCTGTATATCTACATCACTGTATATCCACATCATTGTATATCCACATCTCCTATAAATAGCACATTCACACCGTGTATACACATTTTTCATTGTGTATCCACCTCTCCACTGTTTATCCACGCCTCCAATGTTTATCCACGTCTGCATTGTTGATCCTGATCCACAGATGCTCAGTAGAATTACCCAGTTGCCTATCAAATCTGACTTATTTATCCGCAGATTATCCGCGACGCTGACGGCTCTTCTAAAGGTTTTGCGTTTGTGACGTTTAAAAAAGTTGAAGAAGCAGCCAAGGTGAGGAGGTTGATGTGTCTGTCTGGGGTCATCTGTTCCAGCTAACTTTCAATGTTCAACAACGCCTAGTATACTTATTTGCACTGTTCCGTTGTGTCTTTATTCTAAATATTGCAAACGTATCATCATCCTTATGTAGTCCGCCGGTTTGTCAATGTGGGCTGTACTGGGTTTTCAAGACTAGTCGTCTTTCACCAAGCTGAGCTTCTTCTACTGGTCACGTTGCATCTGCTGTGAAAGTAAACGAAGAATTGACTTTTTCCTGTACGTGTGTCCTCTGTGCATTCTTCCAGTACATCTCTCTATCTAATAGCCCCTGTCGTCCTGCCTTTGTCGCAGTGTTTGTCGACATTCTTCTGTCTCAAATACTCCTAGTCAGTTCCGATACAGATGTTGCTGCAGACTATAGCTGCCTGACATTATCTTCATGAGTCGAACATGTCTGCTTACCTTCCAAACTTTCAATTTACACTTCCTTTTTTTTTATGTAAGTCTTTCCATTAAGTTAGCATTATTTTGGAGCTTGTTCTTTGCTCTCATTATCGTCTGCTTAAAAGAAACTCGGTCTCTCGCTAGCACTCCCGCCTCTACCCAATGTATCACTTCCATAATGAACCCATCTTCTTGCTGGTCGGTCCCTTCCCCTCTCTAATAGCGCCATGCCTTCTGTTATTATTTTGTCCCGTCCGCCATCCGCTCAACATGGTCCTAATGTTTCATTTTCACTCAATCTTTTTTGATATTACGAATTTTCAGAGTGTCAATATTTTTTTTTTCCTTATCTTTTTTTGAAAAAAACCTGTCTATAACATTACAGCTCAAAAGCCCAAATTTTCTTCGTCAGTATTGCGAGATAGTGCACGACTCACATCCGCAATGGGGAAGATACATGCTATCAAAATCTTGACCTTCATTTCCTCGCTGGTGCTTAACTGTAGACTTTAAATGCTACCCAATCCAATCAGCATAGTAAAATAAAACCGTGCAACTTCTGATTCTTATAACTGCAGCTTCTTTCGACGAGGAATTACTTTTCTAGGGCCGGACCGTTTGTATTGGCACTTTTAATGACTGCCTTGTCTATTTAATGCATGTGTAGGATATTGGCCTTGTCCAGACTGCACTTCGTGTTGCTTTTTTTCACAAGACAGTGATGGAGATTCGGCGTCGTTGTCGTTGGTACAGGAACGAAGCAAACGTAGCTGACCCGTTTGCAGTGAAGATGGAACCGTGACTACCTGACCACATGAAAGCATAGTAAATTATCCTGTTCAGCCCTTTGGCTCATCGGTCATCAAATGCTAAACATAATTTTACAGATCAGTCTACACTCGATGGGTTGATGTGGTCGATATTCGTCAGACCACCTTTACTTCTAAGACGTTACCTGTCACCTATTTTAGACTAAGTCGACCTCGGAGCTAAGGTCAATTTTGAACAAAAATCAGCCATGATGTGGGTTTGAAACCAAGACTGGATGAAGAGTGTCTAGCCACTACACTAACGCGGCTGCCATCCTTCAGTTAAGTACACAAACAACATGGAGATTTCGCTTCGGATGCTGGTAACCAGTTATCTTCATTACTTACAGTCAAAGTTCGGTCTCCACAATGAAGTTGTCTTGCCTTTTTTGTCTGCCGTTCTGAAAGTCGTTGGTTTGTTTCACGACTGGGATCGTTGCCGGAGCTGCGGAGTTCGTACTTTGAGCGACAGTCTTCTAGTCGTTCTGCGGAGAGAGAGCGCGTAATATGGAGGAAAACAGAGTGTGAAGAAATTATCCTCCCATCTTTAGGTAGTAAGACCTTTGTCTTATTTAGCTAGGAAATATAGAGTAGCACAGGGGTACCCGTGGCAAGAGTCGTTAAGCAATACAAGGCTGGCTAGCTTGCTTATCTACCAAGATGGGCTGCTGGTTTGAAACCCCTGCTGGCCCGGCTCTCTAGCGTACTTGGCTAGACCAGATTGCGCGGTGACCGGGTGACGAACTCCTTGTGGTCCGGGTTCACTCCCAGGGGTAGGCAGAAAAGCCACATTTCTTCCAGATTTGCGGTATTTACAATGGAATCAAGGCCGAAACGTTGAAGCAGGAATTGTTCTTTCCACCAGTGCAGCTGTGTGCTTGACCTAATCTCACAATAATCAGTGCCTGTTTCTGTAATCGTCTGCGAATTATGTTGTAAGCGAACAAACGAACAAACGAAAAAACTTTATTTTTGAAGGGTTAAGAATTTGGCACGCAGGCCCGTCTAACATTCTTCCCTTCGAGGTCTCCCTTCATTCTTTCATCATTTCATTCACACATCAAGTAATAAACATAATCAACAGCATCAAAATATTCAGTACAGGCACTGGAATGCCTACATTTCTAACTACAATAAACCGTAATGGTTGTTTTAAATCTATGGGAAAATGGGCGCTATTTCTAAAATATTTTTCTTTTTGTTCTCTGTGGGGGCATGTAATCTGTGCTTAAATAATATTCGAACAGTTTTCGATTGTATGTATAGAGACTAGTAGTATTTTTTATCTGTTGTGGGAGACAGATCCACAGCTGAGCTGCGGACTTGTTTTGTAAAGGTCTATCCTAAGTTTAGGGATGTGTAATATGTTTAGGCTGTGCCTTCCATTATATTTAAACAATGACGATAAGTAACATGGAGCCTTTTGGAATGATACTTTGTGTGTTAATTTCGCCTTATTGAAAAGTAGACGTTAACGATGCGGTAGTAGCACGAAAGCAGGGCAACAAGGCAGTGAACTAGAAAATCCTCTTGGTGACTGTGGCATAAATAAAGAAGTAGTTAGCGCTTTAATACCCACATAGTAAGTTAGCTAGCTAGTTAGTTAGTTAGTTAGTTAGTTAGTTAGTTAGTTAGTTAGTTAGTTAGTTAGTTAGTTAGTTAGTTAGTTAGTTAGTTAGTTAGTTAGTTAGTTAGTTAGTTAGTTAGTTAGTTAGTTAGTTAGTTAGTTAGTTAGTTAGTTAGTTGGTTGGTTGGTTGGTTGGTTGGTTGGTTGGTTGGTTGGTTGGTTGGTTAGTTAGTTAGTTAGTTAGCTAGCTAGCTAATTAGTTAGTTAGTTGGGTTATCATCATTGCACTCCGGACATGTCCATAGGTGCTCAGATCCTCCTCTCAGTATGAACTCCAACGTCCGATGGCTAATAGTACTAGTTCTATGTTGATTAACAAGTCGTGTGGTATGCGTTTCGTTTTTTGCTATGCCGATCTTAATTCCCAAGTCTGCCATTCTGGCGAGTGAGGTGGATTCACTGCCCCTAAATTCCTCCATCCTTACTATTTCTCTGAGGGCATTATTAATATCAGCATGATCCATAGGCTGACAGTCGGTAATGATAGCGGATCCAGCCAATCTATCAGCTCTTTCATTTCCATCGACGCCTGCGTGTCCCGGAAGTGTAAGTAAGTAAGTGAGTGTCTGTCGTAAAAACGCCATTGTGAGTTTTAAAGCAGTCACAATTTCTTTGCCAGGCGATTGAAATGTTAAATGGGAAAGAAGTGGATGGTCGTGTTCTTTTCGCTGGGGCAGCGATGAAAAAAGCTGGGCGCAAGCAGCAGCAACATCACTTTCAACAACAGCAACATGAGATTACCCTCGATGAGAGCATCATTGTGGAGCAACAACAGCAGCAACAACAACAGCAGCAAGAGACCTGCAAAAAACACCAACAGTCCCAAAGATTCAAGGATCTCCATCTCCTTCAGCAGCCTGGCGAGATCACCAGCGTCCAAGTATTACCAGCGATGATCATCAAGCACCACCAACAACCTCAGCAGCACATCACCCAGCTCCACAGCAGCAGCAGCAGCAGCAGCAGCAGAGATGGCAGCAACCGCTCTCCCAGACATCCCCGGGCACAATTCAGTTTCCTAGTATTAACAACTGCCACAGATCTGAGTTCAGCAAGCTGCTTCAGCTGCCTCAAATAAACCAGCAAATACGCAGTATCCAACAACAGCTACATCAGGGCAACTTTGAACAGCAGCAACAGCAAGCTGAGAAGCAACAAGAACAGCAGCAGCAACAGAAGCAGCTTCTGAACCAGAAGTATCAGACACAGCAGGAGCTTGACAACGCAGCCAAACAGGAAACCTTACAACAACAAAGCACACTTCAGCAGGCTCAGACTCAAGTTCACCAACAGCAGCAACAACAACAACAGCAGCAGCAACAACAACAACAGCAGCAGCAACAACAACAACAGCAACAGTCAGGGACGAGCAACTCCACGGCCACCAACAGTGTCCCCCAGGGCGTGAACCTTTACGTCAAACACCTGGATGATGATGTCAATGACACAATACTCAAGGAGATGTTCTCCAAGTTTGGGGACGTCATTAGTGCCAAGGTAAGCAAGAGACTGTAACCTTTGTTATACAGGTTGGTAATAGGAATGAACTGTAAGATACAAAGTTAAAGACTTCTTTTCTTTTTTACTTCCTCTTTTACCACTTCGGGTGTAGAGGTAGATATAAGGTCCTGTCCTGCTCTTCTGGCTGCTTCGGGTGTCGAGGGAGATAAAAGGTTCTGCTTGGTGCTCTTCTGGCTGCTTCGGGTGCCGAGAGAGATAAAAGGTCCTGCTTCCTGCTCTTCTGGCTGCTCGACCATAGACACATCGTGGTGCTGTACAGTTTCTCGGATGTTATCTTCCCATATTGTTCTTGGTCTACCTTTTGCTCTACGTCACTCTCCTCTTTTGGTATATGCCTTGTATGGTATGGCATCAGAAAGCATTGTCTCTAAGTTGGCAAACCATTTGATTTGCAGTCTTTGAATGTAATTTAGAATTGGTTCTGTACCGATTCTATCTCGTATGATCTCATTTCTGATTGTATCTCTTCTGGTCACTCACAGTAAAAGACTATTAGACACAAAGTAATAAACTGAGTGGTATGCACTGAAGGATACAAGGAGATAAGACTGAGGGCTAAAATGTGATAGACTGAGAGAAACAATGTGATAGACTGACAGATAAAAATTGACAGACTGAAGGATACAAGTTGACAGGCAACAGATTCAAGCTGTGGATAGACATACGTTTACTTAGCCCTTGTCTGTGTTTGCAGACGATAGTGTTATACTGTGCTGCAGTTGAGGCTTGGGAATTACAGCGCACGGCGATAGCGAGTGGGACAAGCAAGACCTGGCAGCGCCTCTCCATGGCACAAAGCCTGGGCAGTACTGTAGAGACCATGCGTTGTCTATGCATCATGATCCTTCCTGGGCCCTGCTTTGTTTACTCTAAAGGAAGGGTAACACCAATATCTGTTGACAAAAAAAGCAGTGCTCTGTTTGTCCCTCTGACGGAGCTTCTCTCCTAGAGCAGCTGCTTGCCAAGGTTAACGGCCTTATCTGCTCTGCCATAGCAAAAAACTTTTAGGATGCGTTGCATCTTCTTAGAATACGGTTAGTATCTCCCACAATCTGTTTCTCCGCCAGAAGACGCTGGCACAATGAGGGACATCAGATTTGGTATAGGCGCCCAACATTCGACGCTAACAGAAGACAGCTTGTACCGGCTATTGCTATCAGGCAGCTCAGTCTTATCCGACCAAGACCTGATATACAGACGTACACATTTAGAGAAACTCTCACTTAGTCTTGCAGACAGGTAGACATATACGTCGATAATCGGTCCTTGCAGTTCCAACTTGATTGCAAACGGGTCACCCCCATGGCTGCTTCCCTGCGTGCTAACTTAAACCTCATCGAATACCCATATCTGTATCTTGGGACAAGACTAGTTTCGGCAAAGCCAGCAACATGCACACGCATTAAATGCATGAGGTAGATGAAATTTGGTAATAGAAAGACACTTGTAAAACGTGATCAAATGAATCTTGCCTAAGTGACATTAATGCACACGCGTGAAAAGTGTATGAACATGAGTGTCAGAACTGTACAAGTCAACTGTAAGGAAAGTGTATCAGAACACTTGAGTGTCATTGAACTGATTACGTCCATATAAAAAGATCAGGCTGTGGCCGAGCAGTTATAGCACTGAGATTTTATTCGGGAGTACAGGTTTCGAAATCCTGGTAAGAGGTTAATCTTTTCCTTTACACAAAAGTACTTGTACAAAACGTTTACTCTCAGTTCTCAGAGACTCAATAGACAGTTTTCAGAGCTGCTTGTCATCTGAATAACTGTACATTACTCATCCACTTGTACAGTTCTCTGAAACATAAAAAGATAGCAATAGTAACTTGTACAGTTCTCTACAGTGGCCAGAGCAGTAGTATGGCACTCAGAGACTTGCAATTAACTTGTACAGGAGACTACAGGTTTACGTTCTCAAGACTCAATAGCAATAGGTACAGAGGATAGTGTACAGTTCTCAGAGACTCAATTTTTTTTTTTTTCCTTTAGTTCTCAGAGACTCAATAGCAACTTGTACAGTTCTCAGAGACTCAATAGCAATAGCAACTTGTACAGTTCTCAGAGACTCAATAGTAATAGTAACTTGTACAGTTCTCAGAGACTCAATAGTAACTTGTACAGTTCTCAGAGACTCAATAGTAACTTGTACAGTTCTCAGAGACTCAATAGTAACTTGTACAGTTCTCAGAGACTGCATTAGCCCACTAGCCACGCGATCAAATATCCTCAGGATAAAAATTAAATAAAAACAAAAACCCAAATGTCCTCAAAAGAGGTAATGTCGGTACTTACTGAACCTTTTCCCTATAAAACAAACACACACACACACACACACACACACATATATATATATATATATATATATATATATATATATATATATATATATATATATATATATATATATATATATATATACATACATACACACACACATATACACACATATACGCACGCACACACACACATATACACACAACGCACACACACACTAGCTGCCTTCTGAAACCTGACGTCACAAGCAAACCATTGATGGTTGACTAACTGAATTTGTTTGGTACTTGTCGGTGTTTATTTCTTTCTGCCCTGCTTTTTGGTTTGATAAAATGTCATTTTTGAACCAGTTCTGTGCATGTGTCCAATCACAGGTCATGATGGAGGGAGAGAAGTCACGTGGTTTTGGTTTCGTGTGTTTCGCCCGGGCTGAGGATGCTGCACGTGCTACCAGAGACATGCGCAGGAGGGTGGATGACGTCAACAGGAAGCCCCTGTACGTTGCGCCAGCCCAGAGGAAGGAAGAACGGCAAGCATTCTTCAGAGAGAAACTCAAGTCCAGACAAGCAGATGTACACTCCGGGGACGTAGAGATGACCCATAAACTTGTTAGCCCATTTGAAAGCAGCAAAGACCCGCATAAAATTAACGGACAAAACCAGATGATCCTGAATTTACCCGGTGGCGACAATTCCAACACCTTTAGCAATATTCAGCTGTCAAAAACTGAATGCGACGCAAGCACCCAATCACAAGGTCCAGCTAACCTCAAAGTCCCTCCCTCTAGTCCTGAAGTGTGCAATAGCCATTTTGTAAAACTGACGAACTTAAATCGATCTCTTCCTAAAAGAACTGGACCCAATTGGTTGAATTTTGAGTTGTTCAACGTCGAGAACCTTAGAACGCCACTGATAAAACCCACTCGTTTGGCCAGTCCAGTTGGAGAAGCTAGCCCTGTTCTTAATAGTCCAGTAGAAGTAGATAAAAGTCGTGTACTCCCTTGTGTCGTTGGAGGAGAGAATGATGAATCTTGCAGTAGTCCACCAGTTTGTGTAGACACATCCAGATTCCTATCCAACAAAGCTGCTGACATGAGAAAACGACCTAACGAAGTCAAAGGGTTTAAAAGGTCCAGACAAAATTCCCCTTGGCGAATAATTGATTGCGACGATCTCGGCATCAGTATCATGAGCAGAAACCCCACACCCAAGCCCATTGAGGAGAAGCTGCCAAGACTGACCCCTATTGGTTGTAAACCGGAGAGGTCAGGAAGTAAACCTTGTTCTGTGAAAACTTCTCTAGACAGATTGTGCACAGTTGAAACCTATAGTTATCAAGTAACTAGGCAACAAGGAAAATCCGTCAGCAACATATCTTCCTTTGAAAAACTCAACGATACAACAGAAAGCCCCAGTAGTTTCACAGCGACGACCAAATATTTGTCAAGAGATGAAACGTGTTTTGTTGAAACAGCCCCCAATATTCCCGAATGCTTCCCTGGAAAACTCCACCTGTCTAATCTTGACACCGTCTACAACCCGTTGAATGTGCTTTCGTTTTCCGTCAAGACTAACTCTAACAGAGTGTCCCACCCTTCGCCGAAGTGTTGCCTGCAAAGTTCCGAACTCTACCCGTATGTAGACAGTGATCTCTTCCCTTCTTCCAACGATCGTGGTATGTTTTCGCAAGTTCCTTCCGTAAGTAACGATTCGCTTATCTCCGCTCGGAGCGGAAATGTGTGTCCAGAATTTGGGCAGAGCCTCAGTCGAAATCTGAAGAGAAAATGCGACTTAATATTTGACGAAGATGTCAGGGAACACAAATGCCACCAGTGGAGGGTCAAACAGAGAGTGATAGATCATCAGCCCAAGTCCGCAAAGGATAACGATATTTCGGACAACTATTGCCAAGTAAGATTATCATTATTGTCGAATTATAAGCTTTAAATCTAAGCTAAGTATAATTTTTCTTGTTTTCAGTTAGTTCGTTAGTTAGGCAGCCATCTCAGTCAGTCAGTCAGTCAGTCAGTTGGTTAGCTAGTTAGTTAGTAAGTTAGTTAGTAAGTTAGTCAGTCAGTTAGCTAGCTAGTTAGTAAGTTAGTTAGTTAGTCACTTAGCTAGTTAGTCACTTAGTTAGTTAGTTAGCCATCAAGTCTGTCAGTTAGTCAGTCAGTCAGTTAGTTAGCTAGTTAGTAAGTAAGCTAGTTAGCCAGCCAGTCTGTCAGTTAGTCAGTCAGTTAGTTAGTTAGTTAGTTAGTTTGTTAGTTAGTAAGTTA